TTGGATAATAGATCTTAAGCCTTCTCCTAAGTTGGGTCATCTTCTTCCTCTTATTAAATATGTCTTTGTTCCACCATGTTTTAGAGTATTCGCAGATTCTGGCTTTTGGGATGGCTTTGTCTGCTGCAGTTGTGAGGCAATACGTAAGGTCCACTACTAGTTCTTCCATCTTGTCTATCCAGCCTTGCTGTTCTTGACTGTTTTACGCCAGTAAGTTGATTGAATGGGTTAGGGTGTAGTCCTCTACTTGCTTTATCCTTTGATCTACCCTGAGATCTTGCGATCTTACTTTAAGTGTGTTTATAAACTCCTCCCAGTCTGCCTTCTTTAAAGCATATGGTGGGCTTTGTAGAGGGTTCTGGAACCTTTCTATCTTCCTAGTAAACATAGAGAATGCAATTGTCTTATGGTCACTCCCTGTCTCTTCAGTGATGGCCCAGTTATCCCAGGTGGCGTGCTGAAAGTTAGATGAGACAAATGCTAGATCGATAATTGATTGTCTTGTTAGGTTAGATCTAAAGAATGTGCCAGTATTGTATAGATTAAGGAGCTGACAGTTATGGTCCCTTAGCCATTTGACCATGGTTCTTGACTTGGCTATCTTAGAGGTAGTGGCTTGTTGGTTCCACCAGCTATAGTGTAGATTAAAATCTCCACAGAGTAGAATTGGTAGGGTTGGTGTCCAGTTTAAAAGTCCTCTAACGTGGTCCATAAGCGAGTGGCGCACACAAGCGAGCGGCGCACTTTTCCACGCATCATAACTTTTTCTTCTATAATAACGCATTTCTCCACAACCAACAATGCCTACGCAATCAAACGAAAGTCAAATTGTCCTTGCCATCCAAGCTCTCGAACGCAACAAAAAACTCAGCCGTCGGAAAGCCGCAGCGATCTACAACGTCTCCGAAACTACCCTCCGCGCGAGAATAAACGGCCGAACTCCCAAGCGCGACTATCGCCCTAATGCTCAAAAGCTGACAGAAACCGAAGAAGAGGTGGTCGTCCAATATATTCTGGACCTAGATGCGCGAGGGTTTCCGTCCCGGCTGGCTAATGTGGAAGAGATGGCCAATCTGCTCCTCGCGGAGCGCGTCGCGGGACGCGTCAGGAAGCATTGGGCGGAGAACTTCGTCAAGCGACGACCAGAGCTGAAAACGCGTTTTTCTCGTGCCTACAACTTCTAGAGAGCTCTCTGCGAAGATCCGGACGCGATAAACGCGTGGTTCCGTCTGGTAGCTAACATGCGCGCGAAATACGCGATCCAAGATGCCGATATTTACAACTTCGACGAAACAGGCTTCATGATGGGCGTTATCTGCGGCGGCATGGTTGTCACGCGTGCCGACAGGCGTGGTAGAGGCAAACAACTTCAACCTGGCAATCGCGAATGGGCCACGGCAATCGAGTGTGTGAGCAGCGACGGTTTTGTGCTGCTTCCTTTCTTGGTTGTGCAAGGCGTCAACCACCTCGCATCCTGGTACACCGAATGCAGTCTCCCGCCTTCCTGGGTCATCAAGACCTCGCCAAACGGCTGGACGGATAAAGAGACGGTTATGGACTGGATTCAGCATTTCCACCAGCATATAGATGCCCGGCGGAAAGGTGTCTATCGGATGATTGTTCTTGACGGTCATGCAAGCCATCTGTCGGCTCAGTTCGAGGAATTCTGCAAAGAAAAGAACATTATCACCGTTTGCCTGCCTGCCTGCACATTCTTCGCACCTCACCCAACCTTTAGATGTTGGATGTTTCAGCGTGCTGAAGCGGATGTACGGCCGGGAACTCGAAGCCTTCATCAAAGCCCATATTATCCATATCACCAAAACCGAGTTCTTCACCGGGTTAAAAGACGCCCACGTCAACACTATGACGATTGGAAATATCCAAGCGGGCTTCTTCGGCGCTGGCCTAGTCCCTCACGACCCTTAAGCTGTCATTTCAGAGCTTGATATGAAGTTACGGACGCCAACACCGGCCGGACCCCTTCCCCCCGCTGCCGACCCATAGGTCTCTCAGACACCAAACAACCCCAAAGAAGCTGTTTCGCAGTCTGAGCATGTCAAGGATCGGATAGCCCGATACCAAGGAAGTTCTCCAAGTACTATTTTCTCTGCTGTTAAGTAGTTAGCAAAAGGTACGGAGCTTATTGCTCATGAAATGACACTTCTACGCGACGAGGTCCGAACGCTTCGACAGGCTAATAAGGCACTTGCGAAGCGACGACGGGCCAAAAAAAACACGTGTGCGAGCAGGAGGAGCACTTAGTGTATAAGATGCACAAGAATTGATTGCCTAGAAAGAGGTTGTTAGACAACAATCGGGTAGGAAGTTGGAGGAAGGATTGTCGCATTCACGGCGTTGTAGGAGGTGCGGAAAGATTGGACATAATATACGAACTTGTTAAGAGGACGAAGAAATGTCTGAAGAAAAGAGTTCAATTGAGTGCAGTTAATCTTCTCGGGTTGTAGCTATGTAATTAAGTTTGAAGGTTATGGTGGAGTGGAAAAGTGCGCCGCTCGCTTGTAGACCACGTTACAGTTCGTTTGGGTCTAAAAGTACGTTTTGAAGTTTCCGTATACTCTCCCGAGTCGTATGTCTGGTCGCTGACCAAATTGGACCAGTTTGGCTCGAGGTACAACGAAGTATCAAGAGGTCAAATTACTATAAAGATGGCCCATGGTTATGATGTGATAGGATATGACTCCAAAGAGTACTTCCAGGATGCGTGCAAATACACCGATGAGACCAGAAAGATCTTCCGCGAAACAGCCGAACTTTTGCCGGCTTAGTAGAGGTTTGTTTACGGACTCTCGAAGTCACATAATGAAGAACTTTTGCGCGCTATGGATGGTTTAGAAGTTTCTCAGATGTACAAATGTAATTTCGACGCAAACTATCTGATATACTGGTACTAATAAATCTATAGGCTCGCAATTGTCTATCCTATCCCCAGACAATGCGCATATCGCAAGCATTATCAATAACCGCCTTCAAATTCGAGAGACCAGCTCCCTGGAGATAACAAGAAGCATACCAATACCCGGCGAGAGTTTCTCTAAAGTGTCTCTCATTCGTTGGTCTGCATGCCCCCGTACAGGAGGAGAATCGCGCCGCATCCTCCTCTCCAACGAAGACAACGCGCGCATATACGATCTCCGCGATGAGAGATGGTCCGCTACGATCAATAATGGAAGTGGGGGTATGGGAAAAATAGCCAATGTTGAGTTTGGGAGAAACGAGAATGAAGCTCTGGTATTTTCCGACTTCGGTGCTAAGGTCGTTGTGTGGTCACTCATAAGTGGAAGGAGCGTGGAGATCAGAGACCCGAAGTTTTCAACTAAAGGGTTTGGATATGGGGTTTCAGGAGTCTTTGCATTACTATCGCGACCAGCAGCCCAGGATATCTTAACTCTGCATGCACCAGACACATATTTTGTGCTCAGGACGGTAACTTTACCAACGGTGGATGTGCAGGGGTTGAGTTGGAGTCCGGATGGGAGATGGTTGGCGGTTTGGGATGCATCGAGTAGTGGGTACAGAGTAATGATCTATACAGCTGATGGACACCTATATCGTACATATTGCGGAGAGCAGGATGGGGAGATACAAGGTCCTGGAGTCAAGAATATCAAATGGAGCCCGAGAGGAGACTATCTCGCAGTAGGGAGCTATGATAGAAAACTCACGCTTCTCAGTACGCGAACAGTATGTACACTTTCCCAAACCTATGATTAATACTAAGTCTCATCCAGTTCTCACCCAACGTCTTTCTCGACCACGCCCCTACAATCCATCTTCCTACCGGTGAAGTATGGCAGGAAACCGTCTCTACTTCCTCACCACGTCGCCTTACCATGGCTCCACAACCATTTACTCCTCCCATCGCCCCCACCACGCCTTCCGACTCCTCCCTTAAACAGGGAGTCTCCCTCATTTCCTTCAACAGCGACGGGACTCTCGTCGCCACCCGCTCGGACTCCTTCCCAACCACAGTATGGATATGGGATCTCACTAGACTGACACCTCTCACTGTGCTAGTTCAACACTCCGCAGTCCGACAGCTACTTTGGCACCCATCGCGTTCTGAGTTGCTTCTGACTCATTGCACGCAAGACGAACCCATCATCTACCTGTATGACTCCATGAAAACCGTACCGCAATTGTTATCTCTTGCATCACATTTCACCAAACCTGGACCCCGTCAGGATGCTCGTTGGCTCCATAGGTCGTCTTCGCAGCGGCCTGGGATTATGTTCAGCGACACTCGCAGTTATATGCTCGTTTGGCCGGAGGGTCGAGAGGTTATGCAAGTGCCCAAGAGTCTAAAGACTCCTGATAAAGAAGACGAGAGCGAGGACTCGTTGTATGACATCTTAACAGGTCGAACTCCGTTGCCAGTGCTGGTGGAAGAAACTGCTCTGAGAAAATACGAGGACGAAGACGAAGATGAACAGGGACTTGAGGATACATTTAGGGGTAAGGGAAAAACATTTGTGGATAGTTTGGACGAATGCTTTTAGTAGGAGTGGGAATCGCTAGCATTTCAATTGGATCATGGGGCGTTTGGGAGATGGAAAGCTGGATGGAAGATACCCCTGCGGACGATTATACTTTTAAATCTCTATACTGTTAGCTATTAACCTTTTATCTATTTTAGAAGTTAAATAACTATCCTGTTAAATTATATCTACTCCCAATCCCTATAGACATATAGTAGGGACTACATGCAACATCAGTACGAGCACAAAGCAATGCGAATTCCATAGCAACTAATACGCTCAAGGTAATTATATATATTCGAGAGATATGTGAGTAATATATACCGTAGTGAGTATATGTAACTTCTCCGTACTCGCTCACCCTGCTTCACCGCCCTCTCAACCCCTCGGCCTAATTCGTTGAAAACTTAACCCCACCTATATTCCCAACCTGTCCTGAATATATTATCAATATATTTGATCCCTGTTCACCCACTACTTAACCCAATACCATATATTCCAGCCGGAATGGCGCAGTGGTAACGCGTCGCACTTGTACTTCATTCGAGTCAATGCGAAGATCCCTAGTTCAATTCTGGGTTTCGGCAAAATCCCACTATCGGGTTACATTTTTTTTGGGATTCTTATTTGGTAAGGGTGGGGATTTCGGCCCTTGAGGAAAGGGAGCCGGGTGAGAGAATGGGAGGGTTGTGTGGTGGTGATATTTTACATATTGAAAGATCTACTTCTGACATCTTGCTAAAGGCGGAGTTGGTAGAAGAAACGCAATTTTATTTGTTATATGCGTTTTGAATATTTCGGACTTTAGGATCTCGAAGAAACCATACTTCTACCGCTATCATAACGGTGTTGATCGTAAGTCATAAGCCTTTATACAGAAATCCGTGCCATATCCTCTCATCAGTGTAACGAATGGGGTATACCTGACGCCAAACCATGCAATTCCAGCCCTATACTAACATGACCCTCTACCCTCAATTTTCATTGCCATCGTTCGGTCATAACATACTCAAATCTCCTTAACCTTCAACCTCCTCCACATACCAATATGCTCGATACCTTCTTCATACCAGATCCCCATTCCTTCATCCGTCTCGAATCCAAACCTCTTCCAAACCTTCTCGACAGCTTTCTGCGCATGCACGAGTACAAGGCCCATCCACCTCTCCTCTTCTTCGCCCTTCCCATCGAGCCTTGCCGCTTCTTTGACGGCTGGGCTCGGTGGTGGAAGTACCGCTTCAGGATTGTCCCGCGCCCAATCCAAAGCGCTGTTCACCAGCAGCTTCGACAGTCCCATTCCACGGAACACGGGCACCGTAGCTAGACGGCCGAGCTTGATATACGGTTCCACACCGTCGTGCATGGAGGTACGGTTCGACGGATCCGCGACCGGAGGAGCGCCCTCGGAGTTGTCCATCGCGTGCGAGCTACCCGGCGTGGGGTGGGGAGGGTGAGGTGGCGGAACCAACCTGACCACGCCCACGGGCATGCGTGTAGCCGTCGTCTCGCTCTTGCGGCGTTCTTCCTCCTGTGTTCCCGCACCGTTACCGTTTCCGTTATTGCCATTTCCGTCCGTAGCGATGGGGTCGCGGTGAGTGTTTTGTGGGGAATCGCTCTTCTGTCCGACGGACGCGTAGACGACCCAGTGGAAGGAACGTGGGTCGTCTTCGTCTAGCTCGTTCTCGAGAGTGCAGTGTTGTTCCTTGACGAAGACTTCTTCGCGCACTTTCATAGCGTCTTTGAAGATTTGGGGGATGTTGGACGGTTGGGAGGAGAAGGGAGCGGTGCGGTCGTAGTGGGTGAAGACGTCGCCCGGGGGAGGCTGGAAGGAGATGAATTCGGTGGACATGGTGTTGATGTGATGTTTCTCGATGTCCGTGAAGGTCAGGAAGCGGTTTGTTTCTTTCTCGTGGATGTCGGAATTGAGTGGTATGAACAAGGCGACGGTGCTTCGTGGTGCTTGAGTATGACAATTGCCCGGAAGGAAGCCGTGATGGGTGTAGGAGTCATAAATAAGCTTTTAAGACGTAGCAATTGCGAAAGCTAATTCTAATAATGACTCTTGCAACCAAAGGTTCGACAACAGCCTGAAAATTCAGGGCAGTCATGCACGGTATGGTATTTTTGGTCAAACCCGTCAGACGCGCTCAGTAAGGACCCTGATCGCAGCGTTGGTGGCAACAAGGCATCACAGTGATGAATCTGGATTCCGGAAGAGGGCGAATCGGAAGGCTCCCAGGTGTGATCCAGCCGTTGGCGATTCAGGCCCATAAGGCCGCAAACGAATAACTGATCGGCGGTATGACGCATGTTGCACGGGGTCTCCCGCAACAGCCTGGCAGGGCTGAAGGAAAATTTTCAACATCCCGTAAACCTTTCTGTACGTTTATAATTTAAGTAACAGAGTATCTTTATTTTCATACATTTGGAGCATAACTCTATATGCATCTACTAAAGTCACCCACGCACTGTACAGATTGTGGCATTGCAGAGGAGTATTGTGAGCTCGTCCTACGTCTGCGGAAGTCTCCACCTCGAATTTATTCCCCCTCTATCAGAAAGGGTTGTTCTTGGTCCTTGTCCGCTTGCTGTACACATCATGGAGTACTGTCAGTTTTAGGTCTTAGCCAGATCTCGCTGATGCGCACAGGTAGGTCAGGCTTTCCTTAGATTAGAACTACAGGATGCTTGCACAAGGTTAGCCTTTCACTCACTATAGCTATCTTGTGGGTGTAAGTATATAATTAGCCAAGACTAAAGTGCATGGATGAGAAAGAGATAGATACACACGCATCCATACAAATCCAGCACCTTGAAGGTAGAAACATATGAGACATTAACAATCCTCGAATACCAGATGTCGTATGACGATATGATATGGCTTGTGTCAGCAAGAACACGAAGTTTCAAAATCAAGGTGTTCATCCAAGCTCATTAACATTAGAGTGAGCCAAGTCAATATGGTTGGGGTCGTAAATTATCACGTTGCAGCACGTCTTTTAAATCGACTCTACGATCGTAGACATTCGCCCAATTTCTTCATCCGTCAAATGCACCAGTGACTAGCCAAGGAGCTGGCAGCCTACTTTCACCCTCGGCCTGGGGAAAAGACGGTGGTAATACCAGTGGGAATGTTGCCAACCGGTTCCGTAGCTGTGGGCTTCACAGTTGAGGTTCCCATGGCTGTTGACTTCTTCGTGGGTGACGACATGCCCCCCATTTGCGCATGGAAGACACTGACTATCACTTATTAGAGACTGTGCAACACGTACCAGAGACACATGTCGTGGGGCCAGTTCATAAGCAACTATGCTACTGTTAGCATATATTCACTAAAGGATATGGTAACTATATGACACACGTGCTGACGCGATGGTTGATAAAAGAGCTGCTGATACAGTGTAACTGCCGTCATGATCACTTTAGTATTGATCCCGTATGGTTTAAAGCTGAAAAACTGGTATAACGAAGTGTGCTGATAGCAATTTATTCTGTACCGAGAAGAATGAAATAAACCTCGTACATCACCCTATTGGAGTGGAAATCGGATGACTGGCTACTGACATGAACAAGGCTTCCGTATTGGCTTCATCGATAAATCTTGATAGTTCTTCCACAATTCTACGTCTTTTGACAGTTATATCCTATTTCCATTAGCTTTTCCTACTATTCGCACTTATTTCAAGATCTTTTATAGCGTAGTCCTTGATATATTACGTCCACTCATATGAGCGCCAAGGCGGTACAACTTAAAAAGACGCACCCCGCATTTTTAAAAACTGGGGAACTCTTGAACAGTCGCTCCAATCAGAAGCATTCGGACATATAGTTCTGTGGACAATATGGGACTGTTCTGCGGGAATGGTCATTTACGAGAACCGGGTAGCAACGCCCGCCTTGCGTTTCTGCACGGGAATGGATGGCGAAATAAGCAACAGCCCATTTCTTGGAGTTGATCTCTTGTCACTCTTGATCCTCGACCACAGTCAGTAGTTAGAAATATTTATTCTCGTGTGGTTCTGTTCTGAACGGTAATGATGGTTAAAGAAGCAGAAAACATCTGTAAAGTGAATAGTTAAAGAAACCGACCCCAAGTGGATTGTGAAGTGATGAATATTGACGCGCATCCTCACCGAGAGAGACTTCCCGCTCTCCTTTGATGACAATGATTTTATGATTACTCAAGACACACAAGTATTGAAGACAGAAGTCATGCGTAATCAAAGAATGGGAGACTTATGTGAAAGTTTCAAGAGTAAGAGGAGAAGATAATATAACTGAATAAAGAAGAACGACGTATCTCACACGAATCAAACGGTCGGGGTCCACATTTAATAGATTTCGAACCCTTCATGTCAAATGAACCACGTTTGAGATGAATGACTTTTGTATGTTCAACATAATCCAGCCATATGCCTAATTATGCGAAAAAGAGGGAAAGCAATAGTAGAAGTGACCAAAACGGAGAATTTGACGTGTAGACCGAAAGACCGAATCAAGTGTAGACGAAGTCCATGGATGTACTATACAACGTGACAATGAGCTAGAATATACATCGATATGTAACATGGGCGACGTCCCCTGAACTAACAGTTACCTTATTCAAAACACACAAAAGGAGATGTTTGATAGAAACCTGTCAATTTATACAGCCATTACGGCTGTATCCCCTTCGTTTACAATCGAGCACTTTCAAATCCCTCCTCTTTCTTCAACCCTTTTGCAATTCCTTTGGAGATCCAATCTGATATCGCCATATTAGTGATCATAGGGTTGACACCACTCGCGCTTGGGAAGACACTGGCATCAGCTACAAACAAACTCTCTGTGCCCCAAACCTGTCCTTTCGGATCCACAACACTATTGCGAGGACTGACGCCCATGCGGCACGTACCCATCTGATGTGCGGATGTGAACGGAGTTTCAGGCGCTGGGAACCCGGCCCTCCTTATCTCTGCGAGCCATTCTTGAAACTTAGGGTTATTGATACCTTCGTGGTCATCATTAGTATTTGATTTCTCTCGGATAAATCTTGACACTCCGGGTATTGCTGTAAAGATTTCCTGAGCCCCTGCTACATACTGAATTTTTGCACATGCAATAAGACCTTCTAATATATGCTTTTTATCCTGTGGCGATACTGTATAACTTATTTTCACTTGGCCCGTTGAAGGTTCCGGATACACGTAACCAGATCCTATATCACGAGCCATCGAGAAAATGCTCGTCATATGTTTGAGTCTGGACGCGAAAACTTTGAAGTCCAAGCCCCCTTTCCAAGGGAAGAATACAAGAAACGAAGCTGGCTGTCCGACCGATGTCTCAATTTTGACTCCGTGTCCTGCGCCGTCCAAGTTATCAAATTCATGAACAACCGCAGTGATAATGGATCCCTCCCATGGTTTCGTCTCTTCCTTATGAATACCACCCATCAAGGAAACCGGATGTAGTTTGAGATTTCGTCCAATTTGGGGATTGGTAAGACCAGAGCGGAGAAGAAGTAAAGGACTCTGAAGTGTCCCTGCAGAGACTATAACCCTCTTGGCGTTGATAAAAACCTCCCTGGAGATTACGCCGCTACCATTGA